CCACTCAGCCCCCACCCCACTCCCTCAGGCCTCGGCACACTATTGTCTGTGTCCAGGGGCTATGCACATAAGTATATACATTCTTTGGTATTTCCCTTCTCCTTCCGCTCCCGCCCCCCATATGTCAGTCTGTTCCATGCCTCGGAACTTATTTGTTGGTCAATTTATTGTGTTCATCAGATTCCACATATGCGGGAGATCCTGTGATACTTGTCTTTCTCTGATGGGCTTATCTCACTTAGCATAACACTCTCCAGGTCCCTCCATGCCGTCCCAAAGGGTAAGAGATCCTTCTTTTTTACGGCTGCATAGTATTCCACAGTGCAAATGTCCCGCAGCTTTTTTATCCGCTCACCTCCTCTGTCTTTAAACACACTTTCCTTTGGTCATTCTCGAAGCTTATGGAGAGCAGATCTGTCCCGAAAACAGAAATACATTCCACACACTATTCTGCCTCTTCAGCATCAGAGACCCTGCCTTGCAAATCCGTGTACAGAGGACCATCGTTTTTCTCCTTCATGGTTTCCATACTGCACAGGTAATTTTACATAAATAAATTAATCAACCAAATATGCTGTTTCCCTTCAACTTAACCCCTCCTCTTCTGCGGTGCTCACACTGCCACACGGACGCCCGCACCTGCTCGAAAGAGCCCTCGGCTCTCAGCTGGTGTGCATCACTCGATAAATGATCGCACAGCCACAAGCAGACAGATGGGTAACCACAGCCGATAGTGACATCCATTCCACGTCTCACCATAGTGTTTTTTTTTAAATATGTTTTTATTAATGTCAGAGAGAGGAAGGAAGAGGGAGAGAGAGATAGAAACATCAATGATGAGAGAGAGTCATTCACGGATCAGCTGCTTCCTCCACGTGTGCCCCTGGGGATCTGGGGATCAAGCCCGAAACCCGGGCGTGTGCCCTGACGGGGAATTGAATCGCGATCTCCTGGTTCACAGGTTGACTCACTCACTGAGCCACGCTCGCCAGGCTCATCATAGTTTTCTTTCTCATGCAGCAATAGCTTTAGGGAATGACTTTAAAGCAATTGCTTTAGCTTGAATTTATGGTCTTTAAAGTCTGAACAATGGTCTGTGGTGTAGCTGTATCTGAATTTATCCACTCAGTCCATCCTAAAGGGTAGTTACAGAAGATCCTTGTTATTTCTGGCAGTTATGATCTAGAAAGTCTCCAAAAATACTGAATTAGTGAGTAGTGTTCCTAAGGGAAATTCAGGGCTAGGTTCCTACGAGCCTCTGGTTGCAATATTTTTGTCAACCAATCAATACATAACCTATAAAATAAGGTAGTGTGTTTACCCATAAGATAGCGTATTTCTGTGTAAAGACATCTTATTGAATATATACGGTCGATTCATTAACATGAACTCATGGTGAAAAGCACGATAACTTGTACCTAAATGAAGCTCATCCAACCCATGGGTTTTCCCTGTAAGGCACAGCACAGCTGTCTCGCGCTTCAGAACACAAGAAAGCACTAAGCATTATTCCCGGGGGTCATTTAAAACCGCATAATCACCAACCAAAAAAATCCCCACAAAAATGTGATAAACATAGCACTACGCACACCACACAAAGAAGACTTGTTTACAGCCTGAGAGCTAAAGCCAGAAGGCAGTGGACAACTCATTTTTTTTTACCACTCTGCACCTGTCTGAGAATAACTTGAAAGCATCATGAGTGTCAATGTGAGGCTGCAAATAAATGCTAGCACACAGGCAAATTAGCAAATGCAAAAGCTGCCAGTAATGAGGATTGACTGTGATATATTTCCAACCTGCCGTTACTGTACACAATGTTGCAATAAAGATCCTTGCCAGTGTATCTTTACTTTATTATAGGATAGATATCTAAAGGTGGGATTGCTGATGTATTATGGCCAATGAATTCTCTAAGATTTAAAAAATTTTATTTTATCTTCATTTTAAAAAAAGAGATTTTTGAGCCCCTGGTGGGTGGCTTAGGTGGTTGGAGCATCGTTCTGTACACCAAAAAGTTTGCAGGTTCGATTCCAAGTCAGGGCACGTATGGGAGGCAACTGATTAATGTTTTTCTCTCACATGGATGTTTCTCTCTCTCCCTCTCCTTTCCCCTTTCTAAGCATATCCTTGGGTGAGGATTTAAAAAAAAAAAAAAAAAGATATTTTTGATGCATATAGAATTCTAGATTGACAGTTTTATTTTTCTCCCAGTATCTTAAAGATGTCACTCCACTGTTTTCTGGATTGCAGTGTCTGGTGAAGAGTTTGGTGTCATTCTCATGTTTGCTTTTCTGAAGATAATATGTCTCTTTCCTTTGGCTGCCATTAAAGTGTTGTATTTTTCACTGCTTTTTTTCCCTTTCACAACTTGATTATAATATGCTTTTTTTTTTCTTTTCTGTTATTATGGTTGGTGTTTTAGTGCTTGTATAAAATTTGGTAAAAAATCCACTCATTATTCTTCAAATGTTTGTTTTGCCTTCTTTCCCATCTTCTCTTTCTGGGGTGTTAATAACAAGTATATTAGTACACTTTAGGTTGTCCACCAAGTCATTGAGACTTGGTTCAATTTTTTTAAAAGTATTTTTTCCTCTCTGTTTTATTTTGGATAGTTTGTATTGCTATTAATAAGAGGTTTTTCCCCCCGTCTGTGCTGTCTAACCTGCTGTTAATTTTGACTTTTGAAAATTTTATATTTTATTTTTCATCTCTAGAAATTTTACTTGGATATTTTACAATCTTCACTTTCTTTTTTCATTGTGCTCATGATTTCCTTTATGTCCTTGAGCATTTGGAACATACAGTATGGATGTTAGCAGTTTTAATGTTTGGGTTTTTTTTTTTTTGCTAATCCCATTATTTCAGTTATTTGTGGGTTTGCTTCTATTGACTGAATTTTATTCTCATTATGGGTCACATTTCTCTGCTTCTTCATATGGTGACTTTTTTTTTTTTTTTAAACTAACACAAGATACTTTGAATGTTCTCTTGTTGAATCTTGGGTTTTTTTGTGTGTGTTCCTTCAAAGAATGTTTGCCTTTTTATGACAGGCAGTTAATTACTTGTGGATTAATTAGATTCTTTCAAAGTTTGTTTTTGAGATATTTTAAAGGCTGTTCTTCAATAGCCAGGATTTTAGACCCAATTGAGCCTCACTCCTAAGGGGTGGCTCTTCTGGAGTCTCCACTTAATGTCTTATGGCTCAGAGAAACTGAAAGGATTCCGGGTGATTCATGAGCCCTGAAAATTCTTCCTCTTAGGGGGTCCCATAAAATTGTTCTTTACTTGGAGCTATATTTTGTCCTGCCTTGTGGTGTTTCATTCCATATATATATACATGGAGTGAAACACCATATATATATAAACAATTAACCAAAGGCTCAAAGGAACCCTATGCAATTTCTCAAGTATTCTCTAGTTAGCTTTCACCTCTTGTATATTCTGTTTCATAAATTACAGCCATATTTTACCCCCTTGAAATATGATATGTCTCCTTAACTCAGCAAGACTGAAATATTTGAGTTTCTCTCCTTGTAGCTGAAGTTCAGCCATAACCTTCCAGCAGAAAGCTCAGGTGATAGCTGGACTCATTTAATTAATTTTCCTTTTTTTTTTTTCTTTCAGGGATCACAGGTATAAACCGCTTGTTTTCTAATGTATGAAAACTGTTTCCCCCTATATTTTGTGCTGTTTTATAGTTGTATATATTAGGAGGATAACCATGGTCATCTTATACTCTCACAGCCATGACCAAATGACAAAAAGAGAATTTAAATTTGTTTTGGCACGACTGTATTCCTAGTGCCCAACAGTGACTGGCACATAATAGAAGCTCCATAAATGTTTGCTGAATAAATGAACAAATGTGCCCTCTGTTGTTACAAGAGTGTCAATAATGGTATCAATCTAAAGGTAATACTAACAGAAACCAGCAAAGAGTGCAACTTTCTACACTTAGAAATCATTATAGGTCACATCCTTGACAGAGGGTCAGCTGCTAATGATACCATCTGAGACAGTGGGAATTTCATTAGGCTCCTTGAGAAGCTTGTCACTGTCATTCTTATGTCCAGTTCCATGAATTTCTGATCATCCGGGTTCCATGCTCCCAATGGCTGTGGAAATTACAGGTCGTAGGGCCACATTTTC